CTTCCAAGCCCTGAAGTTGGTTTGGGGAGGCTTATGCTCTATAATATCAAATCCCGACGTTGATTTGATGAGCTCACAATAAATGTTTGCAGTAAAAGCAAGTCTTTTATGACTTGTTCCGATAAAGAGTTTGCCGATGTCGGATATACTATAAATTATGCCGACACTAAAAATTTAAGCAAACTCAAAACAAGGCCGAGTGTAAGTACTAAGTATCACGTCGGAGTAATTACGATCATGATCCATTAAACATTCACCTACCTTTCTCCGACATGTTTTGACTTGTTACAATAAATATGTCAAAACAGTACATTCATGAAATACGAAATCAAAAACGTCAAAATTCATTCATAATAAGAAATTGTCATTACATACGATTCAAAAAAAAAAAAAGATAACATATTTTATTCATCCTTTTTGGTCCCCGACGACGAAGCCTCTCCGGCTATAGAAGATTGGGAGTTCCCCATCTCGATTTTGCTCCTGTCCGCCGCCTCCAAATGGTTTATCAACCTCTCGCCCAAGCGTTGCATCACCTCTTTCTCCTTCTCTTCCATAGCACGGACGACGTCACTTTCTTTTATAATGACGACATCGTCGTCCTCGTGCAAGACTCGGTCGTCGTCGGAGGGAATCAGTTCGGTCAGCCACCCTTTGGCTTTGGCGTCGTCCTCGGCCACTTTCCTCGAGGCAAAGCCAGTAATTGCCTCCATTAACTCCTCATCAGATAGGCCCTCCAAAGTTTCGACGACGAACGCCTCAGCAATCGCCTCAACACACATGTTCGCTAAGTCGGGTTTTTTAACCTTCTCTACTTCAAGGACCATATTGACAAAGGCCCGACGAATCTTAGCCCTGCGCTCTTCCGACAGCGGCGCCATGTCCAATTCTAACATCCGACTCTCCTTCTGCTTCAGAAGTCGGTCGGCGAAGTCTCGCTCATCTTGGTCGGCCGGAATATGAGCATTTTTTATTTCAGGGTTGAGGCGATGTTTCTCCATTTTGTGCAGAAGGAAGATGCGCATCTCGTCGATGGTGTAGATGCCGTTTTACACTCTGTCGATCACCCAACGCACCGTTAGTGCGGCATTTAGCTCTAAATCCCACTCGATCACCACATCCGCGTTCAGTACTTTGTCGAATTCAGCCACCGCTTTCTTGCCGGCGTCAACGCCTTCTTGGAATTTGAGGTTGGCGGCAGCTGTCATCTCCTGACGGAGTTTGCCCATAGCAATCTCATGGGCCTCGCGACATCGGATCAGTTCGGCATCTTTATCAGATCGGTCCTTGCGGACAGCTTGAAGCTCAGCTCTTAGCCTCATGAGTTGCTCGTCTTTTTCTCTGGCCGTTTCTTCAATTTTAGCCAGCTGAACCGACATGAGATCATGAGCCAGTAAGAGATTTTCTTTTTCAGTTTTCAATGCACTCGCTTAAGTTTGCGCCGCCATCAGCTGAGCATCCTTCTCTGATATCGTCGCCTCATAACGAGACTTCTCATCTTCCAAAGACGCTATGGCACCTTCCTTCAGACTTAATTCATGCTGCTTCTCATCAAGTTCATGCACTCTACCCCGATAACTCTCTTCAGCAGCGATGAAGCTAACAAGCGCCCGTCCCAAGCAACCTCGGGCATAGCTAAACTTCTGGTCGTCGGGTAGAGACGCAATCCCGGCGTGAGTCTTCGGATCCCATGACATCACCGAAAATTTCGCCGCCTTCACCGTCTCGCTGGGGACCCGATGGTTAATCGTCACTTTTGGCTCGGCGACTGTCTGGAACATTGAGAACCAAGGGTCAAACACGCCTTCTGGTAACTTTAACTCCGCCGCTTTTTTCTCATTAACTTTGAGGAAGGAATCTCTCAAAATGATCTCGGGTTCCTCCTCTTTATCTTTACTGACGCCAGTGTCTTGCCTTTTCTTCATCCTCTCGGCTACATGCGACACGCTAGATCTCTTACGCCGTTGGACTACATTCAAAAGCGGCTCTTCCGACACCTCCTGCGAGATGTCGGCCACTGCAGTAGGTTCCTCTACCGGCGTCATCACTTGTTGTATTGGAGCGACGTCAAGTGGCGGGACGTCGGTAACTAACGGCTCACTCACAATCGCCGGTGTAGGTTCCACCCTTGTTGACGATGGCTCACCAACAGCACTTTGAGATTGGTTGGGGTTCTTTTTCCATGCCTTCAGGAGGTTCATGCATCCAGCCATCTCGGTTGATCGAAGGTTTTTGTTTTTTCTGACTTTATTCTTCAAATCGAAGTTCGGATTACTTCTCCGATGTTCTTCTGCCTCCGCGAGATCTCCAAAACCGAAATATCCCAGCAGCGGATAATAAACTGCCATAAGATATGTAAATTAGACCGACGTTGGCACTGAAGGAGAAAACAGAGCAAGTAAGAAGTATACCTGGTTGAAACACTGAGCTCAGTACTCCGGGGGATAAGCCAGCAAGCTCTAGTCGGGAATCCTTCACAAGTCGTTGATATCGTCGCTTGTTTTTGGAAACTTCAAACAACTTGTCCACCCGATCATACAGTAGACCTTCAAATTTGGGTTCTCTCCTTCCCGCTGGCTTTGCTACAAGGTCACAAAAGTCCACCTGTTAGCGAAGACAAAAGACAAGACATTAATACTCAAAGTGAAGAAAAAGATAAGAAACTTACAGTAACTAGATTTAATCGCCATCGGGATACTAGTCCCATTGGCAAGAAGGTCGTTGGCGAAGTCGGCGCATTGTCAATCTCCACCAACCCACAACCATTCTTCTTGGAATCCATGGAGTGTGTCGGGGATTTCAGCTATTAATTCTCCGACTTTGACTCTAGATTGATGTTTACCGACAAGTGAGAAAGTCACAAGTGGGTCCGTCACTTGTCTATCTGGACTTTTCCTAAAGGTAAACATGCTTCTCATGTCCCTTGCTGACGGTAAATCCCATTTTTTCTCGGATAAAAGCACGAGCAAACCGATAACTCGTTTCCACGAATTCGGAGCAATTTGGCATAATGGAAATTCCCAATTCCTTAAGTACTCAGTAATTATGCGCGGCAGAGGAAATCGCAGCCCTGATCTTAAACTCTCAGCAAATACGCCGACGCATCCAGGCGGCGGGCATGTGATCCTTTCGCCCGGATATGGTGCAAATAAATGCACCGATGTAGGGACCCGAATTTCGCCTCGCAGCATGACAACGTCGGCATCTGTTAATATGCTCGGTTCACCATGGGATGTGAGTTCGGGGTCCGGCCATCTTCTAATGGGTCGCCTCCAGAATCTCGAGTCATCAACGGCATTTTCCTCTACGATTTTGTCCCCATCGATGTCGTTTAGCCGAATATTCAACCGTTCAATAAATACCGGATCCCACCGACTATATTCGGACAACAATTCCATCTCCCCGGAGTGGACCATGTTGATCATCATAACATCCAACTCATCGTCACTGGAAGACGCCCACGATACGCTCATGATGTCGAGAATAAAAAAAAGGGGTCGAAGTAGATGAACGAAATAAAGAAAGAATTCTTACCACAGGAAGTAGTTCGCAGATCTGGAGTGCTCTGAGTACAGTTGAGAGATGATTAATTTGCAAAGAAAACAAAGGAGTCGATTGCAGGAAGAAGATGAAAGTAAAGTGAATCTCAAGAGAAAATTTCCTATTTATACTAAACCCTAAATTTAGTAGCGACCGTTGGAAAACAAAAGAAATAGGGGCGCGTGGACCAGACGTTCTTAATTTGCGGGTCGACACAACTCTTGAGAATCGCGCCTATCATCAACGGTTACGTGGCCTAATAAAAAAGACCGTTACCCCTATCAATAAACGTTGCAATTAATCTCAATAAATTTCGCCGTTTCAACTCTCAGTATTGTTTCTGCCAAGTGTAAAGATATCGGAGGAACAGTTGTAAAACCGACATGTCTCGCTTGCTCAAGATTAAATGATTATTAGGGAATTTTC